CTCCGTGTCAGTGACCTGTGCTGCAGGTGACCAGGGCCCGCCCATGGGTGTTGCCCATCCAGCCTGCAGGTGACAGTGTCTCCTGTCGGGGAGAGAGTGGACATATTCTCATAGAATTGAAGATAGGAGCTACGGGTCTGTGCCCTGTTTAGGTTGCTGTTGGCCGGACTTGGGTGCCCGGTGACAGCCGCTGCCCCTCCTGTGAGCCACAGTCCTACCCTCTGTGGCAGGGGCCAGGGCTGGCGGCGCAGACACTCCTCACCGCGGCCTCCACCCTCCTCCAGCCCACAGGGCGGTCAGGACAGGCTGCACCTGCTGGGTTTCCCCATCCCCCACTGTCCCCTCAAGAAGCAGGCCAGTGTGGCCAGCGTGGTTAGTCTCCTGACAGGGAGTAAAGGGTCTCTCCTCCCATTGACTTAGTTCTTAGGTCACTTCTTTCCAGCAGGGTGGCCCTTGGGGTGTTGATTTAATATTTGGCTGTGGTCTAATTAACTTTATTAATTAACTTTATTTTGTTGCTCAAATTGTTCTAGCATAGGGCATTGGAAGCTCTGTCAGTTAGGGCAGTGTTCCCTTGACCTAAAGATGCTCCAGTCAATCCACTGTATATATCACTTTTTTTTTTTTTGGTACCGGGAACCAAACTCAGGACCTTGTGCTTGCCAGGCAGGTGCTTGTGCCTCTGAGCTATATCTCCGGCCCTTGTATATATCACTTTATCACTGATCTACCATCAATCACCTATGGTCTATCTCATAGCAATCATCTGTCCACTTCATCATCTAGCACCTATCTGTCTGCTGTGCACCTGTGCTTCCGTCCCTACTTCCTGGTTTCCCAGTTGCTTCCCCATCTACTGCGTCCATGTCCTGCCACGGAGCAGATTTCATGACTATTTCAAGGACCGAGGCAGCCTCCCCAGCTGTCCCCACGCAAGACTGGGGGTAGTCTGCGGGCCCCATCACAGCCACTGAGGCTGACCTGTTGTCCCCACCTGTCCCCTCAGCTGCCCTGACCGCTGGACTGGAGCTAGAGGCAAGGTCGTCTGTCTGGTCCAGCTCTGTCCCTCCCTGGTGCTCAGCTCCAGGCAGAACCCAGCAGGGGGCGATACCACCAGCATCCTGCTCCATGATGAGTCATCGCTTCCCTCAGCGGCCCCTCTGCCGGCTCAGGTGCTGGCTGGGCAGGCAGCCAGGGCAGGTGTGTGTGTGTGCTCACCTGGGGATCCTTGCCCAGGCAGTCGGTCATGCACTCATGGCCTCTGTGGCAGGGTGAGGGGTGGGGAGGGTGTGCCCGCCCTGCACTGGGGAGAGGAGACCTGAGGTTCACTCCTGGCCTGGCCTCTGGCCATGCCCTGTGACGTCACCCAGGAACCAAAACAGCTGGGCATAGGGTAGGGCAGGGTGTGTGAAGGTGTGGGTGCAACTGTCAGCTGTCACTTGCATGGGGTTTGCCGCTCAGCACCTGCAGGGAGGACCTGCCCGGGAAGATGACACCTGTCCCTGTCTCTGGCATCTGGGGAAGGTGCAGCCAGGCTGGGCAGGGGCTGCCAGCTCTGCGCCTGAGTGTGTCCCTCCTGCAGCTGCCGCCCAGGGAGCAGGATGGCTGTGTGTGACTGGAAGGTGGATCGAGCCAGGCATGATGGACCATAACTGTAATCCCAGGACTCAGGAGGCTGAGGCAGAAGAATTGCCATGAGTTCGAGGCCACCCTGAACTACACAGGAGGCCCTGTCTCAAAAAATAGTAACAATAATTGATAATAAAAGAAAAGACAAAGTGGATGGAAGGAAAGGGGCTGACATCTTGTCCAGCTCCCTTTGGGGGGTGCGCCCTTTCTGCGTGTGCTTCAGGCCAAAGAGAGCTTGGGCCGCGGTGCCGGGGGCTGGCGTGGGTGTCCTGCCTTTGCTGGTCACTGGGCCACCTTGCAGCCCCCTGTGCTGTGCCTGGTACCGTGTCCCTGCGAGTGAGGAGCCCAGGGAGGGGCTCGCAGCGCTCGTGGACGCAGGGCCGTGGGTGCAGAGTAGACCAGGGAAGGCGAGGAGGAGCAGGGATCCTGGTGGAGACAGTGGGGTGGGGCTGGATGGGACCAGGGAGATCACACGCAGGGACCTCCTGGTGCTAAGGTGGGGGGCAGCCGTCCAGGCTGCCTGTGTGATGTCAGGGCCCAGGTGTCAGCCGTGTAGACAGCTGTCTAGAAGTTCCGCTCACCTGAGGGGTGACAGCCTGGTGTGTTGCAGGTGTGGCCAGACACCTGGCAGCACCAGGACCACTGAGAGGCCTGGGGATGTGGACAGGGAGGGCACATGGCTTCAGCAGCAGGGACGAAGCCACAAACCGAGGCAAGGGCAGTGTGGGTGGCAGGCCGAGGGCCCTGGAGGGGGACACAGCTCTGGCCAGGTGCACGGCACCCAAGGCTGTGCTGGGAGGGGCCCAACTGGCCTGTGGTGGCCACAGTGTTCCCCGTGCCCCGGTGGCAGGAAGATCCCCCAGCCCTGCCACCCTACCCGGTTTCCAGGCCAGCGGGTGTGGGGAGGACTGCACCCCTAGCCTGGCTCCTGTGTGTGCAAGCTGCGGTCAAGATCAGCCCGGGCTGGCTGCGCTGGCGAGCTGTGGGAATTCCAAGTGCCTGTGCCCTGCTTTGGAAATGCTGGGCTCTGCGGGTGAGGGTCCTGGTCTGCAGCTCTCGGCCCTGAGCAGGGACCTGACTTCCCCAGGCTCTCAGGGACCATGGCCGTAGCCCAGCACCTATCCTGCCTCCTCTGTGCACCCCACGGCCCACGAGCCAGAGGTCGAGTGGGGCGTCCACCTCCCGCTCCCTGTTCAGACAGCTGTGCAGTCTTTCTGGCCAACTTCGCCAGGGGCCCACGAAGAGCACTGTCTGGGGAGTCCTTGTCACAGGGAGGCCAGGCGCCTGCCTGCTGGCGGGGCTTCCCCAGCAGGCAGAGCCACCACAGGCCTGCTGGCTGCAGAGTCAGCGACTTCCCAGGCCGGGGCCATGCCTGTCCCATCCCCACAGAGCCGTGTCACTGCCTGGGGTCAGGGCAACTTGGAGGGAGCCCTTTCCGGGCAGGCGGGACAGGGCATCTTTGGAACTGCTGACCGCTTCCTGCAGGACTCCGACCCACCGGTGACCGGCCGGGCCGCCCATCCGGCCTAGGGCCATCCATCACCTGCAGGGCCTGTCTGCTCCCCGTCTGTGTTCTGAAAAAGCAGTTCCTGCCGCCTGGGCCTGCGGCTCTGGATGTCCGATCAGCGCTGGTTTCGGCAGCCAAGGCACAAATAACAAACAGACTGGGTGCTGCTCTGGTCCCTTTTGGGCGTGCTTTCCAGCCGAAGGCCACGCCAGGCTGGGTGGGACTCAGGAACGAGCGGAACTTAAAGCGTGTGGGGGCAGCGGCATCCTTGCCATCCTGGAAAACAGCGTCGGGGTGAGGAACCAGCCCAGGAGAGAGAGGGGCGCTTCGCAGTAGGGCTGGGATCTGGGCTGTCCCTGTGCTGGGCAGGACCTGGAGCTCCCGCTGGTGACGCCAGGAGCTGTCCTGCCCGCGTGAGGGGGAAGATGGTTCTCGTCCTGAGCCTGTTTCCCCTCCTGCAAGCCTGAAGCATGCACACGGCCAACTTACCGTCCAGTGGGGAGCCCACTCAGGTACAGCTCACCCTGCCCCAGAGAACAGAAAATTATCTAAAATGACAAAATTGGAAACTGTTTTGAGCCAGGTACAGTGGCATATGCCTGGAATCCCAGCTACTGGCTGCTGAGAAGGCTGAGGCAGGAGGATGGCAAGGTTGAGCCCAGCTTGGGCAACTTAGTGAGACTGTCTAAAAATAAAAAGGGCTGGAGGAGCAGCTCGGTGGTAGCACTTGCCCAGCACCCACGAGGACCTGGGCGTGTATGTGTGGTGTGGGAGCGTTGGCTCCAGTTATATAGCTTAACATACAGAGCCTGTGACCCATGTGCCCGAAGGCAGGTCCTGACCTCTGAGTGCTGAGGGTGCACGCGGGGTCAGGCTGCTGTGAAGACCCCAGTAACCATCCACTCCAGGCACACAGCATCTTCCTGGACAGGGACAGTTGGAATTCACAGATCAGACCTCGGTGCCCACGTCTGGCATTGGCAAGAGGGGAACTCAGGCTTGGTGACATGACAGGGCATCCCCGAGGGACCCCATGCCAGGGCTGGGTTGAGATGGCCCCTCGAAGCTGGGTTGGGTGGCTCTGCCGTACTGCCAGTAGCTCCAGGCCTTGAAGGTCCCTGCTCCTCCCTGGAAGGCAGAGGTGCCCTGCACGGGGTGGGGGTCCTCTGGGAAAGTCCCCTGGCCTGGGGCCAAGAGCACAGCTGCGGAGACAAACAGGAAGCGGGGGCTCGGGGGCTGGCTGGCCGCAGGGAGGACAAAGACCTGGACAGGAAATGCCTCCGGACCCTCGTGTGGACATGGAGCCTGTTCCTGGACTGGTCACAGGAGCCTGCAGTCAGATAGGTGAGGGGGACGGGTATCCCTGAGGCACCACCCTCCAGGACCTGAGAAGAGTGTCCCACGTGCAGGCGGCGACGGGGTGGGTGTAGGCCTGTGCCAACCGCAGGGCCGGCATGGCCAGGGCCCAGGCCTGGTTTCCGCTTCTCGTCTGAGCCCATGTGAGACCCAGTCTGGGCTCCCCCAGGGCACGGGTCGGTTCCCTGCCCGGCCTCCACCTCGGCCAAGCGTGCGGGGTGGTTCCTGCTCCTGAGCCGGTTCCAGCCTGCAGCCAGAGGGGAGGTAGAAGCTGAGGGGCGCTGGCCAGCTCCTGAGGAAGGAGGACCCCTCTCTCCCCGAGAACAGTCCGGGACCACACTGTGTGTGTGTGAAGAGGGGGTGTTTTGTGTACACAGGAGCACACATCGGTACACAACCCTGTGTGTGTGTGTGTGTGTGTGTGTGTGTGTGTAGAAGCAGAAGGGAACAGAGAGTAGAGTGGAACTCGCAGGGCCTGGCAGATGACTGTGACTTCCCCAATCTCTGCGCCGCGTGGGAGCCGGGTGTCCCTGGCCTCTCCCGAGGCGCCCCGGGGCTGCCAGTGAGCAGGCAGGCCGTCAGGGCCTGGCACTAGTCCAACAGGGAGCTAATGATCAACCGGCCCGGCCAGGAGTCTGTGCGGCTGGGCTGCCTCTCGACCCGGCCCCCAGGCGCAGAGGAAGTGGGGCAGGAAGCAGGGGCGGCCGAGCAGTCAGCCCGGCTGTAGGCGGCCGCTGCCAGCCCTGGCCAGCTAGAGACGGCCCTGCGAGCCAGCCTGCCCTGTGCCGAGCCGGGAGTGGCGCCGTGTCCTCCGGCCTGGCGGGCCTGGGAGGCGTCTCTGGGCAGCGGAGGACAGGTATGGGCTCGTGACAGGGGCTGGGCGGGAGGGGCGTGGACCCGCCCACGGGCTGCGTGGACAGAGCGGGATCTAACAGCTCTCACCTTCACTTTTGGAAGACTTCTGGGATGGTTGGGGTGTGGTGGGGGTGGAGGGAACCTGAGCAGGGAGCCGTCAGCTGACCCTCAGCGAGTATCGCCAAGGTCTGAGCCTCCCTATGGGTCTCCTGCTAGGTGACCAAAGGCCACAGCGTCCCTGTGCAGCCCACAGTGCAACTGGGGCTGAGACTGGGCCACACCGAGGCCACTTGCTCTCTTTATTCGTTTTGGGATTTTGAGACAGGATTTCCCTATGTAGCCCAGGCTGGCCTCAAATTCAAGGCCACCCTTCTGCCTCAGCCTCTCGGGAGCTGGGATTGCAGGTGTGCGCCGCCACCACACCCACATTCCCTGGGTCCCTTTTGTAAGAATTCTCGGCCCTGGCCTCCCAACCTTGGCTCTCCCTGGGGGCAGGGCACACAGGCCTAGGTGGGGCCCCTCTGGGAGGCCCAGGACCCCGCCCTGCCCAGCAGCTGCATTAGGGAGGGGACAGGAGCGGCTGTGGCAGCACTGGGGGGAGGCAGGAGCCCAGGGCGGCCGTGTCACACAGCTGTCAACACAGCAGGGGCACGACTTCCTCTGCGAAGTCACTCAGCCCTCTCCCCGCAGTGCCACAGCACAGGACAGTCGCAGTGTGGCGGGGTCCCGTGGCTGCCTCACCGTCCAGGACATGCCGGGGGCTCCCAGGGACACACAGTGTCCTCCCAGGGGTCAGCAGGCCGTGGCATCTCCCTCTGCCTGCTCCTGGGCCTGGCTCCTCAGCTGGCCGTGTCCCCCGTCCCCTGCCGTGTGCTCACACTGCCTCCTCCGCCGCCGCCTGTCTCTCCCCTCACAGGGACAGCAGGCCCGGGCTGGCAGCCGCCTGTCTCTCCCCTCACAGGGACAGCAGGCCCGGGCTGGCAGCTGCCCTTGCCTAGTGCAGCTTCATCGTGACCAAAGCCAACTTCTGCAAAACTATTATTCCCGCCCAGTTCCTGTTCTGAGGTTCCTTCGTACTGAGATTTACCCCGGGCTCCAGTGCCCGCCGCAAGCTCAGGTGGGCCAGTCCAGCTTGGCCGCACACCTTTGTGATTCTGGCTCTTAGGAAGCTGAAGCAAGAGGATCTGTGAGTTCAAGACTAGCCTCAAAAAAATCAAAAACAGAAACAAAACTTAGGCTGGCTATGGCACTGGGCCCGGAGCCCGAGGCTGGCCTGGGTTTGTCTCTCCCAAGGAGGCTGGGGGAAAGGTAGTCTCTGCTGGGCATCCAGGGGCCACCCAAAATCAGCAAGCTGACCTGGTGGGCCACTCAGAGAGGCTGAGGTCTGAGCTCCTGAGCGTGCAGTCAGTGTGGTGCTGGGCTGGGACGTGGGAGGCTTTCCACCTACGCAGCTGTGGGGATGGAGCCCACTTCCTCGCCTCTGAGTGGGGCACACGTGTGCTCGTCGCTCTGTGTCGCCAGAGCGGGTGGGGAAACCCCGCAGCCTGAGCCTTCCCTTTCCTCAGGAAACCCCTGAGAACTGGCTTTGTGCTCAGCCCGAGGGGCCTTTCCAAGGGTCCTGCCCATGCTGGGCACTGGCCAGGTGGCACAGGGACCCCTGCCCAGTAGCTGCTGTCCACCCGCTTGGCCTGCAGGAAGGACACTGACCTGGCTCCTGCAGGACGATGTAGGGAGGTAGCACTTGAGGGGCCCTTGTGTGTGAAGAGGTGGGAGCGTGTGTGCTGTGCAGACGCCTGACACATGGACAGGGCTTCCCGTTCTCACAGACAGGCTGGGCCGTGGGCGGTGGGCGGTGGGCGTCTGCGGTGGGAGGAGCCAGGGTGGCCCCCGGAGTGAGGAGGAAGGGGCCGAAGTCCAGGCTCCAGCTGGACTTGGGGCTGGGGGAGGGCGGCTGGCGCGGGAGCCACAATCTGAAGGAGGCCGAGGAGCTCCTCAGGCGTGACCGGGTGGGGACAGCATGCCCGGAGAAGGGGACAGGGCAGAGGCACATGGCTCGTCCTGGCGCGTAGCTGTGAGGTCCTGCTCTTGAGGGTCCCGCAGTACCCGCCCTGGGGCCCACCCTTCTGGGTCGTTTTCCTTCCTTTCCACACGCTGGGCCCCTTCCTGCCTGTGGCTGCCCTGGGGCAGGGGCTGGCCGTGAGGGTTCCCAGGGGCCTTGGCGATGGGGGTGCGAGGGGAAGTGCTGGTCACAAAGCGCCCCCCAGGGAGGGCAGGTGGGGTTGCTCCTGCAGACCTGGCCAGGCCCCAGCGGCCCCGGGCCGACCCTTCACCAGGAGCTGCTCCCTGGGGACGATGGCTGCCTCCCCGCTGCCCCTACAGGTTCTCTAGGCCCAGTGATGCTCCTCCAGCGGGGAGCTTGTTGCCAGGAGCCGTCGCCGTCTACCCTGTGTCTGCCTCCCAGATGCTGGCAGGCCTGGTCCCCTCCCTCTGTCCCTGCCACCCAGGGGAGGCCAGGCGCAGGCCGTGGCCAGCTCGGGTGGGGCGGGGTGTGGTCTGCAGTAATGGGGTTGCTGGGGGATCTGGGCTGAATCCCAGTGCTGCAGGGGCAGAGCTACACAGGGGTCTCTGCTCGAGGACGTCTGGCCCGGCTAGTGAGATGGCTCTGCTACCCATGCTGGTGCAGGTCTGGACAGAGTTGTTCCAGGGGCTGGGCTGACTGGGAGGAGGTGGCCAAGCCGACTTTGGAAGGGTGCATGGGAGACACCCTGCAAAGGGGCCGAGGACTTGGCAGGTGGTGGTCACAGCCTGTGCAAAGGCCCTGTGGTGTCTGGCAGCAGGGGCCCAGTGGGGGCGAGGAGAAGAGGTTGCAGAGGGTGAGACAGGTCGTGCATTCCTCATGCAGGGTCATGTGCTGCACATGAGGGTCACCAGGGGGCTTCTTCCTCTTGATGCCGACTGGCTGGAACATTGCAGCCTTGTCCCTGGAGCAGCATGGCTGCTAGACACTGCTGTCCTCTCCCCACAGAAGGCTGCTGAGCATGCCGGGCCCTTGGCTCTGAGGCTACCACGTGACATGAATGGCCCCGCAGAGCTGACCCCTGCGGAGCCAGCTGCCATGGGCAGGGGGTCGGGGGGACCCTCCGGGGACTGCAGCAGCCGCGATCCCGTGCAGAGCGCAGCCGCAGGCACACTGAGGGAAACCAAGGAGACCGGCGGAGTGGGTGAGTGCCCGTCTCCCCCTCCCGCCCCGCCCCACCCCCACCTTCCCCTGGGCAGCTGCCGGGCCTGCCCCTGAGCCTCTCCTTGCCCCTGCGTGGGGCTGAGAGAGGAGGGGGACGCGGGGCTCCCCCAGGGTGCTCCTTCCTGGGCTCCTCCTCCTCCAAGGTCTACTGTGTCTTCCCTGCTTAGCAGCCGTTGTCCTGCCCTGGTCCCCACGGCTCAGCTATCGCACACCATGCTTTAGCTCATTAGACCCATCCTGAAATCAGAAATGTGGGACTTGGGGCAGTTTGCTGCTTCCCTGCAGGACCAGCCGTGGCCTCCTCCTGGGTGGGCTTGGGCGAGGCTGGGGTAGTGGCCGTGGGCACCTGCAGAGGTGCCGTCCTTCGTGACCAGGGGCCTGCTCTGTTACAGATGCGGCTCCTCCTGGCACAGCGGGGCCGGCTGAGACCCTTCCTGGACAGATGGCCGCGTGTCCCACAGGTGAGCGTCCCGGGCCCTGCCTGAGTGTGCTGTCAGCGGCCTCCTGCCGCAGCAGTCACAGCCCAGGGTTGCGGCTCATGACGAGGTTTGTGTGGGCTCGTGGCTTCTGGCTGCAGCCGTGGTCTGTTCGCCCTATTGCTCTGGCCATGGTGCTGGGCGGCTGGGGCAGAGCCACACCTCCCAATCGGGTGAAAGACAAAGAGGGGGAGCCTGGGGTCCCACAGTCCCCCAAGTGCACATCCCAGTGACCTACAGTCGTAAAGATTTCCATCAGAGCCACAAGCTGGGCACCAACCTTGAACATGTGGCGGACATTTGAGGTCCACACTGTGGCCATGGGGAGCACTCTGAGCACCTGAAGTCCCCGCCTGAGCATGGCTGGTGGCCACTGCATGGGGCGGCATGGACAGAGGCTGTGTCCACCCTGCAGAGAGCTCCATGGACGGTGCTGGTGTAGAAGATCCAGCCGGGTCAGCACGTAGGGTGACAGGACCAGAGAAAGGCCTGGAGATGGCTAGGGGGACAGTGGCTCAGCTCAGAGCTCGCGGCTGGCAGAGTGGGGGTGGGGCGGGGGGAGGGGCTGGCTGAGGACCACGTGGGGTGTGAGGAGAGGAGAAGCAGGTTCGGGGAGCCGTGGGTGTTGGTGGAGGCTGGCTTTCATGGCGACAAGGTGAGTGCTGAGCGGCGGCTCTGTGCCTGCCTGCTGTGCAGAGGGACCTGGGCCCCCTTCCCTGCCCTCTTGGGGCAGGGGCTGGGGAGACCGTGTCTGTCACAGCCTCCCAGGGGCTCTGCACCCTTTTGGGGTTTGAGCCCTGACCTTGGGCCTCTGCAACCTGTTGGGGTTCGACCCCTGTCCTTGGGGCTCCCTGTGACCCAGCTGTGTGGCTGGAGCCTGGAGCAGGGAGCCCCACGTTGTCCCAGGCCAGGCTGACTGCCCAGTTCCCCTCGCCTTGCAGACCTGACCTTACAGCTGCAGGCCGTGCGCAGGAAGAGCGGGCACCCAGACCCCGGCCTGCAGCAGGCCCTGCGTGGCCGCCTGCGCCTGCTGGAGAATGACAGCCGGGAGGTGGCCCGCGTGCTCGGGGTAAGACGGACGCTGGGGTCCCGGAGGGGCCGGGGCGGGGAGGTCAGCAAGACGGGGCTGCAGGAGGGCGGAGGCAGCGGCTGCCGTGGAGACCAGAGGAGAGGGGATGCTGGGGCCAGAGCTGAACCCAAGTGGGTATGTGCGCCTGAATAGCGCAGCTGGACAGGCTGCGCCCCAGAGCCTCGGAGCACAGCCCAGCAGAGCTGCCGGGCTGGCTGGTGTTGCTCTGTGCAGGATTCAGGCAGTGCAGTGCCCGGAGGTGTAGAGGGAGAGAGGCTGAGCAAAAGTCCTAGGAAGAGGCTCGGGCTCGGTCCTGGGGCACTGGGGAGCCGGGGGGGCTTGGGAACGAGAGAGGAGCAGGCTCAGGCTATAAAGAAACCCACTCTGCGCTTGCTGTCCCAGCCAGGGCCGCATTACCGCAGCGCTTGCGGTCTGCGCTCAGACACCCCAAGGCCGCGGGCGTCTCCAGTGCCTGCTTCTTTCTCCCCAGGAACTCTCGGCCCGGCTGTTGTCCATCCACAGTGACCAGGACAGGATCATGGTGACGTTTAAGACCTTTGAGGAAATCTGGAAGTTTTCCACCTACCACACTCTTGGTAAAGTGGGGGACACTCCCCCAGTGGGCAGCGGGGCCCCCCAGGAGGACACAGGGAGTCACCCTGGGCCTGTACTCCAGACATGTGCTGCAGGACAACCTGTGACCTGACCTGCACGTGTGAACACGCGGGCACACAGAGGCCAGATAACCTGGCCCTGGTCATGTAGGGGACGGTGACAGTCAGACCGCGCAGCCTGGAGTGTGGGGCTCATGAGTGGCTGTCCTCAGGGGCTCCCTGGGCCTCGTCTGTGCGGAGCCTGCTGGTGACCTGTGCCCTCTCCCAGGCTTCACGCACCACTGCCTGGAGGCGCTGCTGGTGGACGCCACCTTCTGGCTGCTGGCGCCTGGCGAGGAAGAGGAGACAGGCATTCGTGTGCAGGTGGCTGAGGACGCCCTGAGGCTGATGCAGGAGAGCCTCCTCATCCAGGAAGGTGGGTGCCATGCTGTGCAGCAGCTATGACCTTGGCTAGGGGGTCAGGGCGAATTAGGGGCAGGAGGGACGTGCATCGGACTCCTGGACACTGTTGCGGGTTACAAAGATGCTGGGCTGGTGGCCGCCCAGAGGTGCAGGGTCGGGGGGGAGCAGAGGAGGGCTGTTCAGAGCTCCGCCCTGCCTGGGTCATGGCATTGGCCTCTTGAGGTCCCCTCAGGAGGGGGGCTGCCTGCAGGACACAGGCCGAACCCCACACAGAAGTGCAGGGCTCCCAGCTGTGGCCAGACTTGTGGGTGGCAGCCCAAGCAGAAAGAGCTCTGGGGGTCGAAGTTCAGCCCTGAATAACATACTTGGGGAAACTGAGGCCCAGAGAGGGGCTGAGGTCCAGCCGGCCCCACAGGACAAGTTGAGCCAGACCTGGGACCCCAGGCTCCCCTCTGGACTCTTCTGGGAAATCAGAGACCAGGCAGCTGGTTCCCAGGGCTGGGGAAATCAGGGGGCTCCTGTGGGGTGGGGATCCGCACGGTCCTGCCTGGCAGAGCTTCGGCTGTCCCTGGTGTGGCCACCCCGCTGACACGCTGTCCCTTCGAAGGGCCCTTCTTCGTCCTGTGTCCTGACCACCACGTGAGAGTGATGCCTGGTGCCCAGGGTGCAAAGAAGGGGCCTCCACCCCTCAGACGGGCTTCGGGGGATCCCCCAGGAGAGGCCACCCCAGCAGCAGGCTCCTCGGCCCCCAGCCCCAGCGCGGCACCGGAGGAACCCTTGATTCCGTTCCATCAGTAGGTACCGCCCTCGCTGTAGCACCCACGGCTCTGGAATGGGGGTCCGGTGCTCCCAGGTCCTGTGGCTTAGGAGGTGGGCCCACCTCTCTGGGCCTAGGCTGCCACTGGCATCGACTTGGCAGAGCTGTGCTGGGCTTGGAGGGCACAGGAGAGTGTAGTGTGCCACCCCAAACTGCCCAAATGAAAACAAAGCGCAGGCAGAGCCGGGACGCGAGGCCAGGAGACAGTAGGCGCCTGTCCCTGGACACAGGGAGACTTGGCCGGAGCTCCCTGGAGCCAAGGCAGCGGGGAAAGCCGGTGTGCTGATTCACCACGTCAGGAGAGGCGGCGCTCATTGTCTTTCCATCTGAGACCAGAGTCCCTCCGAGGACCCGCCCAGTGCGCGTGGCCTCTGGTCCCCAGCAGGGGACACGGAGCATGTTCTTAGGCCACGGGATTCCTAAATGTGAGTCGGAGCCAGAGGGGCTGCCAATCCCCTGGCCCGGCTTTCTACTTCCCGGCCCAGAGAGAGGGGCAATTTGTCCTGGCACAAGGTGGGGGGACAGCAGAGCCAGAGTGGGAGCCTGGGCTGGGCCCCCTCACGCCTGGCACTGAGCCACTCAGGGTGGCTTGTCCCCCAGACAGGCGCCTAGCTTAGGGTGGGGCCGTACGCACAGGGCAGGTGCTCCTGCACGCGCTGGGAGGCCCTGGGCTCTGCAGGGTACAGATGCCCAAGCTTTTCCTGCAGCGCAGACCTTTTTCCCTGCTCCAGGTGGGCTCTGAGGGTCCCCTGGGACCCCACCGCTGTCAACTCATTGGGTGGACCTGAGACCCCCGACACACAGCTGATGGGTGAGTGTTCCCTGGGCCTGCCCTCCCTGGGGGAGCTGGGGGCACCAGTGTCCCGGAAGTCCCAGCGTCTGCCCTGAGCCTTCCCCAAGCCAGAACAGGAAGCCGGGCTCCCTCCCACGAGGCTCGAGCTCCCAGAGGTCCAGGGCTGAGCCCAGCTGCACATCTGTCAGGAAGCCGGGCGGAAGGCCAGCCCTGCCAGCAACCCTGTGACAGGCCCAGGTGTGAGGCTTTGGCCCTGCAGTGAACCGGCTGGTGTTTGGCAGCGCCCATACCTGCTGGGGTATCGGGCCTGTGTCTGGCCCAGGAGGGACTTGGAGTCTGGTGCCCAGGGCTGAGTTAGTCTATGTCCCTGGGCCTCTGCTTCCCATCCACAACGTACGTTAAAAACACCCCTCTGAAGTTGGGCGTGGGGGCGCACGCCTGTACTCCCAGCACTTGGAGGCTGAGGCAGGAGAACTACAGTGAGTTCAAAGCCAGCCTGGGCTGCACAGTGAGTTCGAGGCCAGCCTGAACTACATAGTGAGACCCTGTCTCAAAAAACAACCCGCCCATCTTGTAGGAACCGTGCCTCTTTCAAACCTCACCAGGCGGAAGTTGGACTCAGGGAGCCTGCGAGGGCAGAGGGACCCCGAGCACCCACGTGGCCCCGTCCCGACTGTGTCTCCTCCTGCAGGCCGTGGCCGGGCCTCCGCGGTGGCTGACTGGCAGAGCTCGGGCCCCGAAGAGCTGTCCCTCCATGCCGGTGACCTCCTGGAGCTCCTCAGTGCCCAGGTGCCCGGCCTGCCCTGGTGTGTGGGCCGGCACGTGGCCTCGGGCTGTGTGGGCTTCGTGCCCACGAGTGTCATCTGCCCGCAGGACCCTGCGTCTGAGTGAGTGGCTGAGGCTCCTTCCTGACCCGTCCCCACTGCTCCTGCGGGCACCTGGCCACCGGCACCCAGGTGACAGACTTGCACGCGTCCTGGGTGCGCCCTTCTCTTCCTCAGCGGCCCATGAAGCCCCCTGGGGCCCCAATGTCCTCCCTCCGATGCTGGCGGGAGGGTGTCCCCGGAGACGTGCTCTGCCCCCGGGTGTCGCCCCCTGGGGGCTCTAGCACAGACTCGAGGCCCACACGGGCCTAGGCCTCCCGCATTTCTGCTGGCTGCTGTGTCCGCTATATCCTCGCGGCCCCCTCCTCCGTGTCTGTGACTCTGTTTCCCATCCTAGCAGGCACCCTCTCTGGTTCCGTGGCCAGCCCGCTCCTGCCTGGCCTCTTCTTACCCGCCACATCCGCACGGACCCAGCTTCCTCAGACAGCCACCATCTGGGGTCCCAGTACCCATGAACTTGGGGGACACCGCTCAACCCTGTGCACTGTGCCACTCCCTTCACAAAGCCCAGCGAAGCTCTGCCCTGGCCTCCAAGGCCCGGAAGACCCTCGGCGTCAAACGCCACTGCTGGCCATCAGCTTCCCCAAGTCCAGCTGTGCTGGAAGGCGCGACTCCCCGCTTTCTCTCAGTGCTGGGAACTGGACACAGCCTTCGCACCAGGCTGCATCCCCATCCCTTTTTATTTTTCATTTCGGGACAGGCCGAATTACCCAGGCTGGGCTTGAACTTGCAATTGTCCTGCCTCAGCCTCTGAGAGTACTGGGGTCACAGGTGTGCACCGACACACCCAGCAGCTTCCCCCTTTTTAACAAGGCTGAGTTGTTAACGCTCCACCTTGTATAACCCTCCACCTTGTTCTCAGGGCCCCGCAATGGTTCGGGGGGACACTGTATCCAGGCCAGCTCTATTCCCTGCATGAGCCCCCGCCCTGCCCGTGACCTGCCTGTCCCCAAGCCCCAGCGGAGGGACTCCCGGGGAGGGCTTCCTGGTCACCTCCACAGCAGCACTGCCCAGCCCTGGGTAACGGCAGGGTGAGAGCGGGGGCTTTGAGGGTGGTCAGTGACACAGTGTGGCCACCCCTGGACAGAACTGCTTCCAGGATGTGGCCTTGGTCCCAGGGGCTGGAGGACATAGGTGTGTGGACAGTGTCCTTACCCCGTTCCACGTCTCTGGGCCTGCACCTCCCAGGAACGAGACAGCTTTGGCGCCCCGGGCCAGGCTGGACTCTGCGAAGGCCTGCACCCCTCAGACCAGATCTCGGGGCCCTCTGGGTCCCCCTTCCGTGTGCCCCCATCAGGTCTGTCTGCCTCCACGCTCCTTGCCTCTGTCCACCGGAGGCCGGGAAGCTGCGGGATCTGGCATTTCCCAAAGGTGTCCCTGGCAGCACTCTGAGACATTGTCGTGACCAGGGCAGAGGCTCTGCTCTGCCCACGTCCCCTGCAGGCCCCCAGGGGTCCCCAGCTGGAGCCCCCTTTTCTTGTTCCTGCCGACGTGTGTCGTGTGCACCTGACCTCTAGACACCTTTTCCTACCGACCCTCTCAGCCTGGCTGGTTCCCCGGGACAGTCTTGGGGACCTCAGCCTTGGCCTAGCCATCTCCAGAGGGGCCCATGTGGGTGATGGGCCCCACCGCCTGCCGAACCTAGGAGGGTGACGGGGCCGTGCCACCGGTCCTGTTACAGCCAGAGAAGCCCTGACACCGTCACGCGCTCACTCAGCAAACACCTGCTGGGTGTAATTCTGATTCCAAACCCAGGATTTTCTCCTTGGGTTTGACGAGCAGCCTTGTGGGAATACTTACAGAGAAGTTGCAAAAGCGTATAAAACTCTCCGCGTGTTCCGGTTGCAACATCAGCCTGGTCCTTTTCTCTCTCTCTATTTATTTTGCGCCCTTTCAGACTACATCGAAAACACAATGTTCCTTTCCCCACGGTAATGCGGGGTGAATTCCTCAAACAGGAGCTTCTGCTGTGCCTCAGGCCATTGCCAAAGTCACAGTGTTTGCCTTTCTTGTTCCAGCCATGCCCGCTGTAGTTAGAAAACCCCTGGCCCGCTGGGGACACAGCTGTCCTGTGCGTCCCCTCCCTCAGAGGCAGCCTCCATCCGTCTTTGTCTTTGGACACTGACAGTTTCGATGGGTACAGGACCGTTATTCTGCAGAATGTTCCAACCGGCTCTAGGGTTTTTTCCTCATCCCTGGGCTGTGTTGCAGTAGTCCTGGAGGAAAACTTGCCTCCTTGCCCCCTCCATTGCTTCCTCTCTCTGATGTTATGGGTCACCCACAAGCCTTTGTACTGTCTCCTTGGGACACACTAGCAGAGGCTGTGGGAGCAGCAGTGCCACTGTCATAGCAGCATCGTAGAAGAGGGGCCTTTGAGGTGAGGCTTTGGAGGCTGCATTGGAGCTCACTCTCTCTCAACCTCATGGCCTTTTCTGTGCCCGGATGTCTGCCCCAGGCCAGACAGGTGTCCTCTGGAGGGAAGAATCTGTTGTTTTCATCTCACTGTAGGTGTGTGGGGACCATCTGTCAAACAAGGGAGTAGAAATGGGTCTTCTGTGAAATGTTTACTTATCTCAAAAGACAAAACGACGACAACTTTAGTTACAGATCTAATCAGCGTGTATCCCTGACTCATGGGGAGCAGGGCAGCCTCCCCCAGGCAGGGGTGAGTCAGCAGGCTTTGAAGGACGGGACAGGGAGACCCAGAGAGGAGACTGAGCCGGGGTCCCTGGGTGACTCTCTTCATGAAGGCTGAAGCAGAGGGGCATCCGTGGGGTGCTGGGCTCTGGCTTGTCTCTGTTCCACTTCTGCTAAGGCCCAGGAACTCCGGCTCCACGCTGAGGCCAGCTCGTTAGCGTGAGCGATGCCATCTTCGTTGGTCTCTCGGTGCCTCCTGTGCTTTATTTCACACTGGAAATGTGGGATTTTAAATAAAGCCCTTAATTTTTTCTAGGTTGGAGGGTGCAATCTTCCTGGATGAGGAGGAACGGTCATTCTTCAGCAGCGAGGGCCACTTCTCTGAGGAGGACGCCCGGCAGCTGCTGGGCAGGACATCGGGCAGGGACGTGTGCACCGTGTACCGCTTGGGTAGGTGCGGGCGGCCGAGTCTCAGCCCAGGGCGGTGATCGCGGAGTTTCCCAGGCAGAGTCCGGAGGGGCAGTGGCTGGGCTGAAGGGCTGGGAGCCAAATGGCTCTGCACCTAGGTGGAATCAAGTGACGTCCTCTGGGCGTAGGCTCCTTGTACCTGGCCTGGGGCCAGCGCTGGGTTTATGCATCTTTACTGCCCAGGACACAGGTTGATGTTTCTGGTGCCATCTGGCTCTGGGCTTGAGACAGGGCAGGCGGCTGAGGCTCCACGCTGCCTGCGGACAGGTGCCAGGGTCCTTCTCTCCAGCAGCCCCAGCACCGGCCTCCCCGGGCACGGGGAGCTCAGGGGCCTGGCTCCAATGTGGCCGGCAGCAGAGGGGCCCGCGGGGACCTGGCCCTTGCTTGGCTTGTCGGTGTGGCTTCCCTCCCCTCTGGAGCCGACACCTGGCTCCCAGGCCCCTGGGGCGCCCCTACCTTCCCTTGACTGGGTGAGGCTGTCCTCACGGGGGCAGGGGCAGAGGCAGGGGCCGCACAGAGGGAGGAAGCTGTCGTGCCCGAGGAGGACGGGTGAGGGCGCAGCACCGGCCGAGCAGGCACCTGGGCACTGTGCGCAGGTCACTCTTCATCCTGCTGAGAGGGCTAGGTGCAAGCGTGCACACCCGCCGCCGTGTCCACACATCCATGTAGGTCCTGCAAACATGCATCTGCACACGTACATATATGTGCAGCAAATCCCCACTGATGTGTATGTGAGCTCACACATGCATGCAGTCCATGTCTGTACCCACGTGTACACATACATAGTCATGGATACACACAAGCATGCACACATGCACAGCACACAGACACACACCTACACACTCATGCACAACTGCAGACACATGCACACATAACCATGCCCACTCATGTGTATACATGTGTGCAGCACACCCACAGGCATGCACACGTGGGCACATGTGTACACATCTACGCACGCACATGTGAATGCATGTGTGCACATACTTAGGAACATAACACATTTCTAGACATGTTTTTCATCCTGCTTGATGACATGCATTGATTTTTTCCCCCCAGAATATGAGGTTTAAACTTCTCCGACCCCACACATGAGCCTCTCCTCCTAAGTGGACAGACGGAACCCAACCTCAGCCTGCGTGCCGGGGCTCAGAGCCTCCCTTCCGTCGCCGGGCTGTCTCGGGAAGCAGAGCGGGGCCCTCACTGGGTGGAACGTGGTGGGCTGGGGGTGCAGTGGGACATTTCTCTGGCCCAATACCTGTGGCCACAGTTTATGTCAGTTAAGCTTTATACATCTTTTCCTCACTCGGTTTCTATGGCAACCTAGCATGAGCATCAGCCTGTCCCAGGGAGGAGACCCTAGGCTGTGGGGGGGCTGCCCTGGGTGAGCCTGGCAGCATGCCTGTGGGGGGCTTGGCCCAGCTCTGTGGGGGCTCAGCTGCTGCCACACAACCCCCGCCCCCCGTAGTGCTGCTGGGGTGTGAGGGCAGCTGGGTGCCAGTGCGACCCTGCCCCTGCGAGCGCAGGGTGGAGGCAGGCGGGGACAGACCACTGCACCCGCGCCCAGGCTGGGGGCCCTGCAAGAGCCGGCTTCTCCCAGGTGGGCTCTGGCCCGGGCTGCTGTCCCGTGTCCCAGAGGCAGGTGGTGATGCTTCTCTCCCTTCTCAGACAGACTGGAAGAGGCTGAGAGTGAGCAACCACAGGAACAAGGTAGGTGCTGCCCTGCGCCCTGGGTCCTCAGTCTGAGGCCTTGCGGGGGGTGGGCGAAGGCCGCAGGGCAGGGTACAGTGGACGCTAGGCACTGACATCGTTCCGCTGCCCGGGCTGGGATTTGGAAACCTAGGCTGGAGAGGGAGCCCCTTGGGCAGCTCTAGTCTCTGGAGGGTCCCGGGCCTTTCAAGATACCCTCTCCCCACCCCTGTGCAGCCCCGTCTCCCCCTCTGCTTGGCTGGGGGGCTGGGTTGGCATTTCCCTGGGAGTGTCCCCAGCTGGGTACAGAGGGACGGTGCTGCTCCTGCCCTGGTGCTGCACACCCACAGGCCCCTGGCCGAGGTCCCAGGAGTGTCCAGCTGTCCACACAGGGGGCTGCCGTGTGAGGTCTTAGCTAATCTGGCAGGGACGGACCAGCTCCTAAACCATGTGTGATTAATTGTCTTCTAAGGCCGAGGCTTTGCAGACCAGTAAAGTGACACCTTGTTTTGAAAGCACTTTCTGTGTGTGAACGAAGAAGAGGCTCTCTGGTCCTGACCCTCCTGAATGACTCCCTGTTGAACAGCCCATGTTTTCCCAGCAGGAAACGTGGCTTGTTTGCACTTTCCCAGGAAGGGAAGGGCTTGGCTCGAGCACTGGTCCCATCCAGGGCGGCCTCAGAGTCTGAACCGCCCAGCTCTCTGCTGGGAACCGGCCCTTCCCGCAATGCGCTGGGCCGACGGTCCCTGTGGCCCTCTCCCCCGCTGTGTTTGATCCTGTTTTGCTTGGTTTTTTGGTGCTGGGGACGGACCCCAGGGCCTCCCACATGCTAGGCGTGCGTTCTACCACTGAACCGCATCCCAACCAGTCTTGTCCGTTTTGTGTGATGGTTTTGAACTCATGCTGCTCAAAAGCTCCGATTGGCTGTTGATGGGAAAGCCTGCGGCTATAGCGCTGGATGTGGACAGGCTGGTTAGGTGGCTCCATCCTCTCGGAGGAAGGGACCTTCAAGAGGCCCTTGGGCTACGTGCCTGAGGACGGGCAGGGGTGGAGGGGTGGGGGTGCCAGGTTTGTCCTCGCCAACTGGGCCATGTCTGTCCTGGGATCCTAGTGACCAGGTCCCCAGGCCCCCCCCCATGACCTTCCTGCTCCAGCAGCCCGACACAGTGTGCAGCGTCTCCAGGAAAGCACTGGAGGGCAGCCTGGGCAGGGCAGCCCCCAAGGCAGGGCAGCCGCAGCCAGGCCTGTGCTGACCAAATGTGTCTTCTCGTACCCGCAGAGGCGTCACCCTCTTGCCCAACCCCAGAGCTACAAGACACCCTGCACACAGTGAGGGGCGTCCTCCAACAGTGCAAGACCTGCCCGGGCCACCCTGAGGAGCCCGTGCTCTGGGACCCCCCAGCAGTGTCCAGCAGCTGGAGTTTGCCGGTCTCCAAGGAGACCCCCTTCTACCTGGACGCCGAGGATGGCTGGTCCAGCCCCAGGGCCCTGGGCTTGCTGCTGCAGTTCCTGAACGCACCCGGGTACGAGGCCGGCTATCGTGGCCTGTATGATGCCCCACTGTCCTGGCTGAGCAGCCTGTCCAAGGGCTTCGCCGATGAAGAGGAGCTGGCCGACTGCCTAGCACAGGCCCGGGGGGCAGCCAAGAAGGCCGGGCTCAGCATGGCCCTGGCCAGGCTCTGCTTCCTGCTGGGGCAGCTGTGCGTCCGGAAGCTCAAGCTGTCCCAGGCCCGGGTGTACTTTGAGGAAGCCCTGGGGGCCCTGGGGGGCGGCTTCGGGGACCTCTTCTTGGTGGTGGCTGTGTACACCCACCTGGCCAGCGTCTACCTGAAGCAGAAGAACAGGGACAAGTGTGCGCAGGCGGTGCCCAGGGCTGCGGCCCTGCTCCTGGGGACGGCGGGCCACGCGGGCAGCACTGAGGCCGAGGCCGAGCTCCTGAAGTTCGCGCTGCGCCGCGCCATCATCGCCCAGAGCCCACAGGCCGAGGCTCGGGCCTGCTTCTTGCTGGCGCAGCACCATGCCCGTCTCAGGCAACCTGAGGAGACCCTGCCCTACCTGGAGCGGCTGCTAGTCCTGCACAAGGTCTCAGGGGCCCCGCACGCGGTGTGGCCCGTGGGCTGCTACCTGCTCCTGGCGGACACCTACAGCAGGAAGTGCCTGCCCCACCTGGCGCTGAGCTGTGTCAGGGCGGCCTCCCTGGGGACGAGGGGCTCACTGGCCAGCTCCCTGTGGAGCGTAGACCTGGTCCTCCAGAACGCCCCCCAGCTTCAGGCCCAGAGCGGGGCCCCCTGCCTTCCCGCGCAGATGGCCCATTACCTCAGACAGGCGCTGACCTCCTCAGCCGTGGGCCCTGGGTGGGTGCTGCGTGGTGCCCTCTGTGCCAGCCTGGCCCAGCTGCACAGCCACCATGGACAACACGGCCAGGCTATTGCCTTCATGACACAGGCAGTGGACGCCGACGCCACAGCGGGGGCCCGCCGCGTGGTGGTCCACGTGGTGGCCCTGGCCTGGCTGCACATGCTCCAGGGACGGAGCCTGGTGGCCCTAGACATCCTGGAGTCTGTCCTGGATGCAGACCTGGCCAGTGAGGACCAGGAAGGCGTGATAGCCAACATGGCAGCCATGGCCCTGAAACGGACGGGCAGGACCCGGCAGGCGGCCGAGGACTACTACCGTGCCCTGCGCGTAGCCCGGCACCTAGGCCAGCGGCAGAACCAGGCGGTGGTCCTGGCCAACTTCGGGGCCCTGTGTCTGCAGGCCGGCGCTGGCAGGCTGGCCCAGCACTACTTCCTAGAGGCCATCGGGGTCTTCTCACCGCTGCCCAGCAGGGAATGTGGCCAGGACTTCACGCAGGTGTTGCTGTGGACGGGCCACCTGTATACCCGCCGGGGCCTCACGCAGCAGGGCAAGTGCTACTACCAGTGGGCGTTTCTGGTTGCCGTGGAGACAGGCCATCTGGAGAGTAAGTGCAGCCCCAGCCCTGCCCAAGCTCTTCTGCATCTGCAAGGGGCTCTCGGCTTCCCAGAAAGGAGGCATGGCTTTTCTGTCTCTTTTCAGAGCGCACCTGGGAGGTGCTGGGGTCCCACAGCCAGGGCTGGTTTCCACCTCAGAGACGCCGAGTGGTGGATGCCTGCAGATGTTCGCAAGGCCTATGGGCCAGGCTGTCCCCCGCCCCCAGGGGCCAGACCCAAGGGGAGGGGAAGACTGGTGGTCCTGGCATACACAGAACTCTTGCATCCTGGCAAGCAGGGCTGCGGGTCAAGCCCGCTCCTCCGGGGAGGCTGAGGCCTGTGCAGCTGGAAGGAATGTTGGCCAGCAGGTGCAGGGGCTCAAGGCATTACTGTGGTCTCTGCCCACTGCCTGCCCACTCCCGTGCCCTCTGTCCGGAGGACACTCAAGTCCACAGAGAAGCCCCCTGGTGTGTAGGCAGGACCTCTGTCGGGGTGCCAAGTGCACCCAGGGGCCTCAGGCTTTGCTTTGGCTCTCCCTTAGGTCACTGGGGAGCCATCGAGTGCTGTAGTGTTCTCACCATGGCCATGCGCAATGGTGGAAATGAGGTGGGATGGGATGCCTGGAAGAGGCAGCAGGGATCCAGGCAAGGGCACAGGAGGGGAGTGTGCCTGAGGGGCAGTTGGAGTTCCGGGTAGCTGGGACAGGTTTCTGTTCATCCTCCTGGGTCCTTTATTGCTCTGTCCTGAGGTGGCTCAGAGAAGGCTGGGGTCAGCCAACCCGAGCCCCAGGGCCGTGGCCACCTCTGCCCATTCCTGAGCACAGGCCCCTGAAGGGACAGAGCTTTAAGAAGTGACCACAGGAACAGGCCTGGAGCGAGGAAGGTGACATCTGTGGGCTTCCACCCTGCCCCATAGTCTCAACAGAGGGGTGGCTCTGGCCGGAAGGGACCCTGGGGGTCTCCAGGAGGACCCAGTGGCCTCCAGCAGGGCCTGGCCACACGCCCAGGTGGCAGCTTCACCTTCCAGCCCTGGTGCTGGGGTTCAAACCCGGGAATGTGGAGGAGGACCCAGAGACTGGGGACACCAAGCCAGCAGCCACAAGCCAGTTGCTTCTGAGCCACGCGGTGCAGTGCGCGTGCCCGGGAGCCGCGCCCCACCTCGCCGGCTGCAACTGCCAGCGCTCGCCGCCCCCTGCCCGCACCTCCGGCCCGGTGCGAGCAGTCCGCGTTGTGCCTGCTCTCTTCCCTGTCAGCCGGGTGAGAGGTTTGTCCGTGGTTTTGGTCTTTTCCAAGACGAAGTTTTGGTTTCACTATTTTTCTCTTCTCTGTGTTCTTATTTATTATTTCTTCTCTGATCGTCCTTATTCTCTTCCTTTTGTTTCCTTTGAGATTAACTAACTCTCCTTTTTCTAGTTTCCTTAAGGCAGAAGTTTAGGTTCCAGTTTTGAAATTTTTTCTTTCTTTTTTGTGGTAATGGAGCTGGAACTCAGGGCCTCCCTCATGCTGGGAAAGTGCTCTACCACTGACCTGCATCCCTGGGCTTTTTAATTTTTTATTTTGAGATAGGATCTCACTAAGTTGCCCAGCCTGGGCTTGAAATTTCAATCCGCCTACCTCAGCCTCCCTAGTAGCTGGGTGACTGGTGTGCGCCCCTGTGTCTGGCATCCTTTATTTTTTGGACAGGGTTTTGCCATGTAGCTCAGGCTGGCCTTGAATTCACTATGTAGTCCAGGCTGGCCTCGAACGTGTGGTGAGCTTCCTGCCTCTGCCTCCGCCTCCTGGGTGCGGGGATTACAGGCATATGCCACCACACCCAGCAATCTGTTTCTTTCTTTTTTTTTTTTTTAATCTTTTTGAGACAGGGTCTCACTATGCAGTTCAGGCTGGCCTTGAGCTCACTTTGTAGCCCAAGCTGGCCTCAAACTCACAACAATCCTCCTGCCTCAGCCTCCCAAGTGCTGGGAGTACAGGTGTGCGCTACCACACCCTGCCCGGCAATCTGTTTCTGATTTCTCTTTTCACTCAGCTTAACTGAAGAACATATTCTGTATGTATCCAGCCTCTTTCTGTTTGCTGAGATGCATACTGTGGCCCGCTGTGTGGCCCAGGCTAGAGAGGGCCATTTGCCGCTGGTGCCGGGCCAGTGTTTCAGGGGCACCTGTTGAGTCTGGCTGGTTTATGGTGTGGTGAAGCCTTCTGTTTCCTGGTTAGCGTGCCGGTAACTTCTAAGGCAGGACTCCCAGCCACTCAGCAGCAGCTTCAGGAGAGACCACTGAGCCCGTGGTTTGGAGTTAGCCGGCTCGGGCTTCGGAACAGAGTCAGACTGCAGCGTCTACCACGTGGCCTTGGCCCAGGGAGGACGCGTGGCCCCCAACTGTCCGTGTCCACCTGCAGTGGGGAAGTCGGGCGCCCCTGGCCCTTGGCTCAGGCTGGAAGTTGTCCCCGTCCTGGCCAGAAGGGGTGGCACCTGGTCAGAACCCCTGGCCAGGGCTCATCATGATGGTCAGTGCTGTCCTTGGACCTTGCCCCGTGTGCCACAGCTGGGTCGGGCCTCGCAGCCAGTCTCTGGGATCAGTTTCCCCCTCTGCGAGGACCTGGCTGGGAGGTATGGCGGAGGTAAAGGGGCTGCAAGGGTTGTGGCCGTGTACCCGGCTGCTGCGGAGCTTTGCGGTGACGACTTCCTTCTGTGCCCCAGGCCAGCTGCAAGCTGTCCAGCGGCTCTGCCACTTCCACAGCTGCATTGCCCCTGATGAGGCACAGTGCGTCGTCTACCTTGAGCTCCAGCTTACGCTGGCCCGGAGGGCGGCCGACAAGGCGCTGGAGGGGCAGCTCCTGGAGGCCATCAGCCGGCTCTACCTGTCCCTGGGCACTGAGCGGTGAGCGCCAGGGCTGTGGCGGCGGGCAGCGCGGAGCTCCCCTTCTCCCTGAGGACCGTGGACGCCCTTAGTGTCAGCGAGCCCTGACCCGGCAGGCCTGGGATCATCTTGGCTGCTGTTCATGACATGAGCCCGGCTCAGCCTTCCCGGGGGCTGCCTAGGCCCCGCCTCTGTCCCCACACTTCCACTGCCCTACACGCTCATTCCCCGCAGGGGCACGGCACAGAATTCCAGGCCACCCTTCCTGCTCGTGTGGCATGTTTGCTTGTTTGTTGCAGTACTGGGGAATGAACCCAGGGCCTTCCCCTAGGCTGTATCCCCAGCTCTTTCTTATTTTGAGACACTCTGGTTAAGTTGTTAAGTTTCTCAAGCTCAGCTCAAACTTGTCATTCTCCTGCCTCAGCCTCCCAGAGTGCTGGGAAGACAGGTGTGTGCCACATGTCCTGCTCATGGTGCCCTGCTCTGAGCTTTCAGCTGCTGGCTCAGCCACAGGCTGTTTGCCCCTTGCGTCCCTAGACAGGACAGTGGCCATGTGTCCCTGCAGTTTCTCACCCACAGAAGGCTGACCGGGACAAGGTCTCGGGGTCAGGTTCCCGTCCTATCACACTGCACAACTGACTGTCCTGACCAAGCCCAGGCCTGGCGGGGTCTGCTCTGTCCAGCGTGGGGCTCACTGAGAGCGGGGAAGCAGCCAGATATCCCTAGGGCTGCACTGCACAGTGGGGGACGGGCAGGGACCAGCGCTGTGCTGCCCCAGGACAAGGACTCCCTGCAGCCTGAGGAGGGCAGGACGCCAGCCACAGCACAGTGTCCTTTCAGTCCCAACTCACTGGGCCTATCTGTCAGCGCTGCCCTAGGGGAAGGAGCAGAGAGTCCCACAGCTGTGGTTGTGACAGCTTCGTCTGCTTTCAGGGCCTACAAATCCGCTCTGGACTATACCAAGCGCAGCCTGGGGATATTCATCGACCTGCAGAAGAAGGAAAAGGAGGCATATGCCTGGCTGCAGGCAGGGAAGATCTACTACATCCTGCGCCAAAATGAACTGGTGGACCTGTACATCCAGGTGCGGGCTTGGGTGTGGGCCAGAAGGTGAAGTCACTCGCTCAGGCACCCATCCATCATCCACCCACCCACCCCTCCATCCATCTACTCACCCGTCCATCCATCCATCCATCCATCCACCCATCCATCATCCACCCACCC